ATAAGTGGAATTCCAATACTATTGTATGATCTATGGATGAAAATCGATTTTAGTTAACACAATAATTTAAGTCATTTGTATTAGTCAAGACGTGCATGGCACGTGCATACTTACTAGTTACATAAATAGTTGGTGTTTATTTACTAGTCCGTCCGCCAGGGTGTTGAAAAAACCCGGCTATAGATGCTCTAATGGAGTGGCTCAGGATTGCACTTATTAGGTTCTCAACAAACTGTCAGAGGAGTACTATGTAACTGAGCTATGCTTAATGAATTTACGCGCGCCATGTGCGCCTTTCTGTTGTACCAAAAAGAAAAAAGAAAATTGGAGCTAGTGGGCAAAAGATGGGCCCACATGGTACACACTCGCAGCAGAGGGCCTGAGGGCATCTCCAGCCGTTGGCCCCCCAGGAGGGGCAAAAAATCGCCCCTGGGGGTGCACCGACGCTAAACCGCGCACTGGGGGCATGATGCCGCCCAGTCGCGGCGCTCATGGTTAGTCAAAAAAGTCAAATACGGCGCAAAAACGACTCAAATTTAACGCAAACATCGGCAAGTTCGTTCAAACTTAAATATATTTAAAAAAAGAAAAAAACTACCGCGGGCTACCCCGCCGTCTCCCTCGCCGCCCGCCTCGCCGCCCGCCCACGCGGTTCTACATACCGAGGAGGTTGTAGAACCGCGTGTAGTCACCGCCGTCGTCGTCGCCACCCCCGCCTACGCCTCCGCCGTCCCTGCTGCATCCCTCCCCCGGTTGGCGCGGCGGGTTGGACGGTCCGGGGGCGGCGTCGTCGTCGTCGTCGCTGTCGAGGACCACGACGTCGTGCTCGTCCTCGTGCCCACGCTTGCGGGCGGCGATCTCCTCCAGGGCCCGGCGCTGCCGGACCATCTCGTCGCGGAGGTAGTCGTCCCGCGCCCACCGCATGGCGTCCTCGTCGGAGAAGCCGCGCCGGGCTATCTCCTCGTACTCCGCGGGGAGGCCGGGCTTCGGCTTGGGCTCGACGAGGACGAAGCGGACGCCGGTGGGTGGAGAGGCGTTGGCGCCGATGCAGACGCCGGAGCTGCGGGTGCGCGCACTGACCCGCGTGTCCTGGAGGCAGGGCGAGCCGCCGGACAAGGAGGAGGACCCCCCGGTCTCCATGCGCCTCGGGGTCCAGGAGCTTCCCCGGCGGCGTGAGAAGGAAGGGGGAGCGGGGTACTCGAGGCCGGCGGCGTTGAGCCTGCCGGAGGGCACGACGCCGTTGGTGGCCTCGAGCTGCTGGGCGTGACGGCGGCGGAAGTAAGGGTCCCAGAGCGGGCTGTCGGGGACGTACCGTGACCCCTCCCTCGCCGCACGCGGCAGGTTCGAGCGGATGCGTGCGATCTCCGCACGCCGTGCCGCGCCGGTGGGTACCGGGGGCACCGGCACGCCGCCCGCGCTGATCCTCCACGCCCCGGGCACCCGCATGTCCGGCGGGACCGGGTACTCGGCCTCGTAAAGGAGGCGAGCCTCATCTTCATGAAGATGGCAGCGGCCGAAGCCGTTCGCCGCCGCGCCGTCGCCTGGGAAGCGCTCGGCCATGGGTGTGAACTGGAGACGGCGAAAGAGAGGAGAGGAGAGGGAGGAACGACGACGGCGGGAGAGTGTGAGTCACCGAGTGCGCCGGGGCGCGTCATATATAGGCCGAGGCGCGCGTGCCACCGTGTGTACGCGTGGCGGGCGAGGGAGGGCGAGGGACGCGCGTCATCCGGTCTTCACTGCGCCGCCCGTGAGGCATCAATGGTGCAGGCTGACCGGCGCGGCAGCGCGCGGCAGCTTTGGCATTGATTCACCGCGGGAAACGACGCGATGAGGACGACGAAGGGCCGAGAAGAGAGCCGTGTCGCTGACGCGGCGGGCCCGCGGCTTTTTCGCGCCAAAACAGTTCGCCCGGCGCCCCCGGGCGCCCCCCAGCGCGCCGGGTTCGGGCTGGGTCCGCCGGCGCTGTTTTCGGCCCAAGCCGGCGAAAATCAGGCTCCTGAGGACGCGACTGGGCCGTTTTTTTTGGCGCCGGCGCGAAAAAGCGCCTGGGGAGGCCTTCCTGGGGGCACGGCTGGAGATGCCCTGAGAGGGCTCGCGGTCAGACCAGGTTTAAGTCTCTCTACTCTTCAGTGTATTGTCGTTGTTGTTTCTTATCTTAAAAGAAATAGCCGGTTGTTGACTTCTTCTGTCTGCCAATCAAGGAGTCAAATGTGAGCATGGACTTATAGACATGGCCGGGATGGGTTTTTTTTCGAGAGTACGTCTAGACGTACCATATTATTATAGAAGGCAGAGTTGAAATTACAAGAAACTACCACTCGCTGCAAACAACGAGCGTAGCACACACCACACCACTCTCGAACAAGTCCACAAACGAACAACACCGCGAAGTAAGCTACAACACAAAAGAACCTATCCTCAGCTGACACACACATCGCGTCTCGACCGACGTCGGACGCCTCCAAAGAGCACCGTCTTCCATAGAACATCGCTTGTTGACGCACCATCCACTCTGAGCGCCTAAGAGGAAGTGGCAAGTGGAAGGCAGGACTTGCTCTGATCCGAGAGAGACACCGGCGACGAGCATACATAGCGTTGTAGAGGACCAGAAGAGGACAACAGCGAACACCGGAGGAGAGCAATAAGGACCCAGCAGTGTCTCCACACACAAAGCTCCCAACAGAGATACAACATCGAGGACGCCGCCAATGTGCCGATCCAACACCGAATCGAGGCTTTCGCCCGGAGACAGCCACCAACTCCAAGTGAGCGAGGGTTATGGCGCACACGCCTCGGCGGCGCCTCCAAGAAGGGGATGACACCCACGGGTGCCATCACCGCCAGCCCAACAAAAGCCAAGCAAGATTTTCATCCGCGCATCGCACATCACCACACCTCCTGGAATTGGGCAACACTGTCCAATTAGCCTCGCACCGCCATCACCGCAACTCTACACAGAAGTAGTCGCCAAGCCGAGGACCGACGACCGGCTGCACGACAAGAGGAACCCAGCCACCGCAACAAACTCCCAGCCTGGACAAGAAACCACAACCACCCACACCTTAGGCAAGGTCCAGGATTGCCCACAACAGCCGTCGCCAGTGGTGGACCTAGGAATGGGCCAGGCCCTGGGCGAACTAGGCCAAGGCCCTGGCAGCTTCGTTGACTGTAGCGTTTTCCTGTAGCTACAGTGCTAAAATATACAAACGAGATGGGCCTCACGCCCCAGGCTGCCGCCTCTCCTGCCTGGGCCTAAATCCGCCCATGGCCGTAGCCAACCAAAGGATGACCTTGCGACGGTCGAAACCACACCTCCATGAAGCACCAAGCTGCGCCACTGGGAGAGCACCTCCACTCACCACACTACACAGAGGTGGCCGGCCACTCGCTGCTCGCCGAGACTCCATCTTGGCCAAGCGCTCTCAGCACCGCCACCCCCAACTGTACGTGAGTTCGCATCTCCGCCTCCAGATGGTGCCGCCGCCACCATAGGTCGACATCGCACCGCTGCCAGCTCCATCCAGGCCTGCCGCACTCCTGCCGCGCATCGGCCAGCCCCCACTCTCGGCCGGCGCAGATCTGACAAGATCGAGCCCCACCGCGAAGAATGTCACGCCGCCACCGGCCCGCGCGCTCCACCGCGACGTGCCGCCATCGGCCAGCAGGCCGCGCCGCCCTGCACCAACACCGCCTGCGCGCGCCACCCGTAGCGCCGGCCACCGAGCTCCGCCACCGCGCCCGAAGAAGCAGCCCCCCGCTGCCCCTGTTCCAGGCGAGGGCAAAGGAGATCCCGCCACCGTTGGCACCACGCGAGCTTTGCCCGGCGACGCCCGCTGGCGGCGGGGGGGAGAGGAAGGAGGTGGGGGCTGCGTCCGGCGGCGGCTAGGGTTAGGCGCCCGAGTCGCCCGCGGGTGGGGGGGGGGCGACACATGGCTGGGGGGGCAGGAGGTGAAAGGTGATGTGGCAGGGGTTGAAAACGTTAATTTCTGGTAGAGTGGTTGTTCATCTCTTTTGTAGTTTAGCTGAACTTCAGTCGCTTGGATTTAAAATTTGGGTTAGTCGATTCTTTTGGGAGGGAAGCAACAGTCGCATGGATCACTGAGGCCGCCAACGGCAGTGGCGGGGTAAGCGAAGCGAGAATCAAGACGATGGCAAGGCCTCAGCCAAAACAAGCCATAGCGGCTGGCTACCGGTGAAGGCGAGTATGAAGCTTGACGGTTCATGGTGGGGAGTGCAAGGCTTGCTTAAAAATTCTGGTGCTTCGCTAGTTTAGAGGGATTGTCGGGGGTCGGCACAAGCACGGCGATGGGCGCCGACGAGGAGAGGGGGGTGGCAAGGCTGATGCGGAAACACCTTCGGGAGCGGGCGGCAGAGACTGGCGGTTCGACCGGTGGTATGTGTGGTGTTCTAGGGAAGAAGAAAGGAAAGATATGAGGTTGAAGAAAGCCATCTGACCGTTGGTTTGCAACCGACGGCTGAAAACGAATGGCCCGACTCAAAATCAATTTTCGGTCGACTGGCCCCTACTCTATCCCTTTCTTTTGCATGTCAATCAAGGAGTTAAACGTGAGCATGGACTCGCAGACATGGCAGGGGTGGGTTGGAAACGTTTAATGCTCTCAGAGTGTGGCTGTTCATTTCTTTTGCATGTCAATCAAGACTTAAACAGTTAAACGTGAGCATGGACTCACAGACATGGCAGGGGTCCGTTGGAAACGTTTCTCCGGGATCAACACGAACTTGCGCCGAATCTAGTACGTACTGTCACTCTGTCATACGTGCATGTGCGCCATTGATGTCGTAGCTCTGCGGCGCATTCATTGGGTTTGCTGTTCCATATGGCTCCCCTTCCTGTGCATTCTTTTTCTTTTCCTTCCTGTGCATTCACCGATACTTTTGCCGGTGCATTCTATCCTTCCGACTCGCCTATATCGATGGGCACCGTATGTGTAGCTGAGATACATTCCTATATTTAGCAACAACACGAGTATCAGTGATCAATGGCGAAGCTGGGGCTAGCAGTGGGCACGTCGGCGAAGCTCTGCTTCTTCTCCAACAAGAGCGACGCGGGCTCGGGGAGAGCCACGCGCCTCGGATGGATCCTCTTCCCTGCAAATCATAGGTGCAGGTATATGCAATGCAAATGTGCAACTTCCGAGCGATACGCATGCAGCTCCACTGACTAATTAGCTTTGCTGCGGCCAGTTTGGCGACGAGATGGACCGCGGCCGCGGCCGAGGCGGTGGAGGCCCCGCCGAGAAGCATCGACATGGGGCACGCGCCGGTGCCGCGGGAGCAGGTGGAGATCGTGCAGTCGCTGAACGGCTGGGTGGCGGAGAACATGCTCCCGCTGCTCAACCCGGTGGAGTCCTCGTGGCAGCCGCACGACTTCCTGCCGTGCTCCGCCGCGGCACCCGGCGCGTCGGAGGAGGAGGCCCTGTCCGCCTTCACGGAGGGCGTGGCTGCGCTGCGCATGGGAGCCGCCGGCGTGCCTGACGAGATCCTGGTCTGCCTGGTGGGTAACATGTGACGGAGGAGGCGCTGCCGTCGTACCAGAGCATGGGGAACCGCACGGAGGGCACCGCGGATGACACCGGCGCCAGCAGCCTCCCCTGGGCGCAGTGGATCCGCGGCTGGACGGCCGAGGAGAACCGCCACGGCGACCTCCTCAACCGCTACCTCTACCTCTCCGGCCGCGTCGACATGCGCCAGGTCGAGACCACCGTCCACCACCTCCTCCGCAACGGCATGGTACGTACGCACATACATAAACACAGTTGCACCGTACGTACTCAGTACACTACCAACTTGTGCACTGGTTAATTATTATATATATGTTGTTTTGCTATGAAGGAAATGCTGGTGCCCAAGAGCCCGTACCACAGCGTGATCTACGGCGCGTTCCAGGAGCGCGCGACCTTCGTCTCCCACGTGCATACGGCGAGGCTCGCCGGGCAGCACGGCGACCAGGCGCTCGCCAAGATCTGCGGCGTGATTGCCGCCGACGAGAAGAGGCACGAGGCGGGCTACACCTGGGTGTGCGCCAAGCTCTTCGAGGTGGACCCCGACGGCATGGTGCGCGCGCTTGCTCGCGTCATGCGCGGCAAGGTCACCATGCCGGGGCTGCTCATGTCCGACGGCCGCGACGGCGACGCCGATGGCAGCCTGTTCGAGCGGTTCTCCGCCATGGCGCAGCGTGCCGGCGTGTACACGGCGAGGGACTACGGCGATCTGGTGGAGCACTTCGTGCGCAGGTGGCGGGTGGCGGAGCTCGCCGGGCTCTCTGGAGAGGGCCGCCGCGCGCAGGAGTACGTGTGCGGGCTGCCGCCCAAGATCCGGAGGATGGAGGAGCTGGCACACCAGAGGGCGGCGGCCTGTAGCGAGCTCAGGCCGGCCCGCTTCAGTTGGATCTTCGATAGGCACGTCATGGTGGGCTGAAGCATGGGCTTCTATGCCTTATACGTAGACTTACGTATGTTTGGTTAGATTCCCATCCTCAAAAAGAAAAAAAGTTTGGTTAGATTCTCCTCCGCCCCTCAAAAAAAAAAGATGGTTAGATTCCCCTCTGGAACATTTGTGTATTCCTGTAAACGTTGATCTTATCTCATGCAATAAAGCACGTTGTGATTCAAAAAAAGATCTGCCCCTCAAAAAAAAGGTGGCTTGCCTGCCTGGATGAAAACAGACTACTCTATTACCGTTTTTTTTTTTTGCAAAAAACTATTTCCGTTCATTGGTTCTCCAGTCTTTGCTTTCTAAACAAGACTGAAGTTATAATTTTTCCTGGGTAAGCCTGAAGTTGTTGTTTTTTGTGGATGAGTCTGAAGTTATTTTGAAGCCATGATAAGCAAGAAACACATACCTAATTGACATGAGATAGTTTCTTCCTAGTCGACTCGACACTAGACTAAAGGGAATTAATTATAAATTCAAAGAAATAACTCAGCTAGTGTCTCTTAAATTATTATTATTTTTGAGACAACGTCGCGAAGCTTTTATTGATTCATCACAATGTTTATAGGGATGGATGGTAACTTCCCGGGGTGTCCGAACCAAATATGGCGGCCACCACCGAGAGATAAAGCATGCTTCGCTAAGTTGTGAGCTTCAAAATTTAAGCTCCTAAACTCATGACTGAAATTACAAAAATCAAAAGCTAAAGAGTGTTCAACTATCTCATGAATAACTGCACCATAGCTCGCCAAATTCTCTTTGTTTAATTCCTGCACCACCGTTTTGCAATCTGATGCGACTTGTATGCGCCTCAAATAGAGATCATCAGCCAAAGCGAGCGCTTCTTTGATGGCGAGAGCTTCCAACATCGGGGGATCCACAATGTATTTGAAAAAGAGAGTCGACGCTCCCGTGAACATACCTCTGTCATCTCTGCAAATGACCCCAACTGCTCCACCATATCTGATCACTGTTGCGTCTAACATTGAACTTGGCATCCCCTTGGGGCGGGGCTACCCATCGCCTCGACCTGACACTGGTTGGAGTGACCATCGATGGAGACCTTGAATTAATCACTTGGAACTCACCTATATATTTAGATATGAAACTGTCAACCGAATAAGGTGACTGGAATATATGCTCGTGAATTGCCTTCCTCCTGGCGGCCCAAATTTCCCAGAGTGTCACCACTAGTCGGACAAAGAGTTGTTTCGTCAATATTTCATGCATAGAAAACAGCCATTCCTTCGGGCATACTTCCGCACGGTCGACCATATGCTGCACCAACTCCTCCGGGGCCAAAGCCCACACACTCGCCGCCATCGGACATGAAATAAGAGCATGTTTCCAAGTGTCAACTGCCCCACATATCAAGCAAGTATCCTCTGTTGCCATGTGACGATGCTTAAGGAGCGAACCCATTGGCATGGATTGACGAACCAGTCGCCACACGAACACCTTGAGCTTTGATGGAACTTGCATGTGCCAGATCATGGACCACTTCTTCGTCTCTTGATGCTCGTAGGATGTATCGTCCTCTTCATATAACCAAGCCTCCCTGCTATGTTTCGTCCTTAGTATCATCCGGTAAGCTGAGCGAACACTAAACGTTCCTCGAGGCTCCTCATGCCAGCCCCAAAAATCCCCCACACGGCATGTGCATAAAGGAATCCGTAGGATCTCTTCTGCATCAAAGTGAGTGAACAGTGAGTGTACCAAGTTTTCATTTCATGTTGTCGATGTTGCATCTATGAGCTGCACCACCTTCTCCGCCGGGTTATGGACAAGCGAAACAATGGGTCTCTTGATGCCGTCGCGCGGGATCCAGTTATGCCTCCAAATATCCGTTGTCTCTCCATCTCCAATGCGCCTAATGACACCTTGTGCCAGAATGTCACGGCCATCCAATATCGCCCGCCAAATCTGGGATGGATGCGGCCCAAGTTCGGCTTCGAGGAGAGAACAATGTGAAAAGTATACTGCCTTGAGAATACGCGCACTCAGCTAGTGTCTCTTAAATGTTGTAGCATGTTCTTATTCTCAGGGCACAAGAACTCCCCAGCGGCGTATTAGGAGGCCAATAGAGTTTACGACATATTAAAGGTGGGATATAGTGCATTATTATCCGCACTTTTCGTAAATCTTGAAAGAAAAGAAAAACTTGCAGAATACCCCGTACTAGCTGTAGGGCCATGCTAATCTCTAAAATTTCTAAACCACGGTAGGGCCCAGTGGCAGAGACAAGCTTGGGGTAGTTATGGCTTTGCCCCATGCTTAGTTTTTCTTTTTCAAAAAGGAGGATGACCCCCGGCCTTTGCATCTGGGAGATGCATACGACTATTTTATTGATTATTCTTGAGGACCTTACAAAGTATAATTGTTGGAAATATGCCCTAGAGGCAATAATAAAATGATTATTATTATATTTCCTTGTTCATGATAATTGTCTATTATTCATGCTATAATTGTGTTATCTGGAAATCGTAATACATGTGTGAATACATAGACCACAACATGTCCCTAGTGAGCCTCTAGTTGACTAGCTCGTTGATCAACAGATAGTCATGGTTTCCTGACTATGGACATTGAATGTCATTGATAACGGGATCACATCATTAGGAGAATGATGTGATGGACAAGACCCAATCCTAAGCATAGCACAAGATCGTGTAGTTCGTTTCCTACGGCTTTTCTAATGTCAAGTATCATTTCCTTAGACCATGAGATCGTGTAACTCCCGGATACCGTAGGAGTGCTTTGGGTGTACCAAACGTCACAATGTAACTGGGTGACTATAAAGGTATACTACAGGTATTCCTGAAAGTATCTGTTGGGTTGACACGGATCGAGACTGGGATTTGTCACTCCGTATGACGGAGAGGTATCTCTGGGCCCACTCGGTAATGCATCATCATAATGAGCTCAATGTGACCAAGTGGTTGGTCACGGGATCATGCATTACGGTACGAGTAAAGTGACTTGCCGGTAACGAGATTGAATGAGGTATTGGGATACCGACGATCGAATCTCGGGCAAGTAACGTACCGATTGACAAAGGGAATTGTATACGGGATTACTTGAATCCTCTACATCATGGTTCATTCGATGAGATCATCATGGAACATGTGGGAGCCAACATGGGTATCCAGATCCTGCTGTTGGTTATTGGCCGGAGAGTTGTCTCGGTCATGTCTGCGTGATTCCCGAACCCGTAGGGTCTACACACTTAAGGTTCGATGACGCTAGGGTTGTAGAGATATTAGTATGCGGTAACCTGAAAGTTTTTCGGAGTCCCGGATGAGATCCCGGGCGTCACGAGGAGTTTCAGAATGGTCCGGAGGTGAAGATTCGTATATAGGAAGTCCAGTTTCGGCCACCGGGAAAGTTTCGGGGGTCACCGGTATTGTACCGGGACCACCGGAAGGGTCCCGGGGGTCCATCGGATGGGGCCACCTATCCCAGAGGGCCCCATGGGCTGAAGTGGGAAGGGAACCAGCCCCTGGTGGGCTGGTGCCCCCCCCCCTTGGGCCTCCCCCTGCGCCTAGGGTTGGAAACCCTAGGGGTGGGGGCGCCCCACCTGACTTGGGGGGCAAGTCCCCCCCTTTGCCCCCCCCCTTGAGATTGGGTCTCTAGGGGGCCGGCGCCCCCCCTAGGGCCCCTATATAAAGAGGGGGGAGGGAGGGCTGCGGACCCTAGTCCCTGGCGCCTCCCTCTCCCACGCAACACCTCTTCCTCTCGCCGAGCTTGGCGAAGCCCTGCCGAGTTTCCCCGCTACTTCCACCACCACGCCGTCGTGCTGCTGGATCTCCATCAACCTCTCCTTCCCCCTTGTTGGATCAAGAAGGAGGAGACGTCTTCCCCAAACATACGTGTGTTGAACGTGGAGGTGCCGTCCGTTCGGCACTAGGATCTTCAGTGATTTGGATCACGACGAGTACGACTCCCTCAACCCCGTTCTCTTGAACGCTTCCGCTCACGATCTACAAGGGTATGTAGATGCACTTCTCTCTCTCGTTGCTAGATGACTCCATAGATTGATCTTGGTGAAGTGTAGAAATTTTTTATTTTCTGCAACGTTTCCCAACAGTGGCATCATGAGCTAGGTCTATGCGTAGTTTCTATGCACAAGTAGAACACAATTTTGTTGTGGGCGTAGATGTTGTCAATTTACTTACCACTACTAGTCTTATCTTGTTTCGGCGGCATCGTGGGATGAAGCTGCCCGGACCGACCTTACATGTATGCTTATGTGAGACAGGTTCCACCGACTCACATGCACTAGTTGCATAAGGTGGCTAGCGGGTGTCTGTCTCTCTCATTTTAGTCGGATCGGATTCGATGAAAAGGGTACTTATGAAGGGTAAATAGAAATTGGCATATCACGTTGTGGTTTTGACATAGGTAAGAAACGTTCTTGCTAGAACCCTATTGCGGCCACGTAAAAACATGCAACAACAATTAGAGGACGTCTAACTTGTTTTTGCAGCATATGCCTTGTGATGTGATATGGCCAAAAGGATGTGATGAATGATATATATGTGATGTATGAGATTGATCATGTTCTTGTAATAGGAATCACGACTTGCATGTCGATGAGTATGACAACCGGCAGGAGTCATAGGAGTTGTCTTAATTATTGTATGACCTGCGCGTCATTGAATAAATGCCATGTAATTACTTTACTTTATTGCTAAACTGTTAGCCATAGTAGTAGAAGTAATTGTTGGCGAACAACTTCATGGAGATCATGATGATGGAGATCATGGTGTCATGCCGGTGACGATGATGATCATGGCGCCCCGAAGATGGAGATCAAAAGGAGCAAAATGATATTGGCTATATCATGTCACTATTTGATTGCATGTGATGTTTATCATGTTTTTGCATCTTATTTGCTTAGAATGACGGTAGTAAATAAGATGATCCCTCATAATAATTTCAAGAAAGTGTTCCCCCTAACTGTGCGCCGTTGCGAAAGTTCGTTG